TAGATTACATTTGTAACAAACTGGAATTATATGATATATACTCTCCAGCTTGAGGGGGAGTGTTAGAATGCTCGAGTTAGGGGTATTTTGGTCATTCTGGTTTATCTTCTTGAAAGTGAAAGGTCTATTGTATCTGAGTTTAAGTTATGTGTCCCATCTTCTATGAGGGACAAAATAGTCTTTCTTGTAACTCTTTAAGTTTTTTGAATAAATTCAAGTGGGTTGGCTAGGAGAGGGGTGATTTTTACATTCTCTCTTCTAGTTTGGCCGAATACTCTTCTTCTTCTTTCTCTTTTCTTTCTTCTTTCTTCTTCTCTACTTTGACCTTGAATCAACTAGGGTTTACTAACATAAAATAAGGGTACAAAGTCAAATATACCCCTACTTAAATATGGGATAAGAAAAATAAAAAACAAAACAGAATTGCCACATCACTACACTACCTAAACTATAAAGAAAAGACTAAGTTATTCTTACTCGACCAACTCAAACACTCCCCCTCAAGCTGGAGAGTATATGTCATATAATCCCAGCTTGTTACATATATTGTTCACTCTCCTTGAACTCAAATCTTTTGTGAACAAGTCTGCCCATTGATCACCTGAAGCCACATGTTCTATGCTTATCTCTCCAGTAAGGACTTTCTCCCTCACAAAATGACAATCAACCTCTATGTGTTTTGTCCTTTCATGGAAAATTGGAATAGATGAGATGTGGATTGCAACTTGGTTGTCATAGTTCAATCTCATAGGTTTGCTCATTGAGAATCCAACTTCTTGCAGAGGATTTTTCAGCCATACTAATTCACATGTGGTGTGTGCCATGGCCCATTTAGCTTCAACTCTACTCCTTGCCACAACAATTTGCTTCTTACTCTTCCACGTCACTAGATTTCCTCCAAGAAACATGCAATAACCTATAGTGGATCTCTTGTCAGACATCGAGCTTGCCCAATCTGCATCTATATACCCAACTGTCTCAAGTCTTCCCTCTGGTTTGTACAACAATCCGCGACTTGGAGCTCCCTTCAAGTACCATACAATTCTAAGAACTACATCCCAGTGAGGTACTCGAGGGTTTTGCATAAATTGGCTCACCACACTAACAACAAAGGAGATGTCTGGTCTGGTAATGGTTAGGTAGTTCAGCTTCCCCACTAACTATCTATATCTTCCATGATCATCAAACATTTCACTTTCATCACTACTCAACCTAGCATTTGGTTCCATGGGTGTTTCAGTTGGTTTCACTCCTAACAATCCCGTTTCTTCCAACAAATCAAGAACATATTTTCTTTGGCACAAATTTATACCTTGTTTCTACCTGACAACTTCTATACCCAAGAAGTACTTCAACTTCCCAAGATCTTTTATTTGGAAATGTTCTTTCAGAAAGGTCTTTAGCTTGTCAATCCCTAATCTGTCACTACTAGTTATGACTATATCATCCACATAAACCACTAATAAAATTTTTCACCACTTTTGAGTGGTCATAACTGAACACTGAGTGGTTGACCTGACATTGTTTCATTCCAAAATTTTTCACCACTTCACTAAACTTCCCAAGCCAAGCATGAGGAGACTGTTTCAGCCCATAAATTGCCTTCTTGAGCCTACACAATTTTACCATCCTCCCACTGAGCAACAAACCCTAGTGGTTGCTCCATATAGACCTCTTCCAAAAGGTCATCATTGGAGGAAGGCATTTTTAATGTCAAGCTGAAACAAAGGCCTATCATACATAACTGCCAAGGAAGTCAAGACACAAACTGAACCAATCTTATCCACAAGGGAGAAGGTTTCCATATAATCCATCTCATATAACTAAGAATAACCTTTAGTAACCAGTCGGGACAAAGTAGATTTGATTAACGTGATTCTTCCTCCTAGGGGCAAATAATTGCTCTTCCACAAGGCCAACCTTTTAGTGAACCATTCTGCCACAGGGTCCCAAGAATTATTCCTTCTTAGATTATTCCCTAATGGTAAACTCGAATAAGTCATAGGCAATTCGGAAACAGTACACCCAAAATGTCTGCACTCTTTGTTATCTCCCTATACTACATGTTCACTCCCACCAAGCAATACTTCTCCAAGTTAGTTTTCAGATTGGACATTCTTTTAGAGGTTTGTATCACCATTCTTAGGTTCCTCACTCAGCTAATCTCTTCTCAAAAAATAGAATAGTATCGTTATTAAACTGTAAGTGAGTAATTGGTACCTATTCTCTTCCCACCGTCCAACCCTTTATTAAGTTTTTTGAGTCTACCCTTTTTATAAATCTCCCAAAAACATCAGCAATCAATGTGAAAAGGAAGGGAGAAAGTAGATCCCCTTGTCTAATTCTTCTAAGGGCTGGAAAATGGTCTACCATTGTCCGATTAGCCAGTATTGAATAATAACAAGTCTTAATACATCCCAAGATTCATCTACACCATCTGTCACCAAATCCAAAACTTTCCATGACATCCTTCAAAAATTCCCATTCCACTAAATCATAAGTCTTTTTCTAGATCCAACTTACAAACAAACCCTTCCTTCCCATTTCTCTTCATATCCTCTGCACTTTCATTTGTCTATTCTTAACAAAAGCCCTCTGATTTTGTGAAGTTATGGAGGGGAGTACAGACCTAATCTGATCAGTCTACCTATGCATCTTTTATCATTACATAAAATAGTATTCTATATTTTTGCATATTTCACAATATTTCTACCATGACTATAATCTTTACAATATTTCCATAAAATGTTTTTACATTACCAACATGTTTCCTATATTTTTGATTACCAATGTTTCCACCAATACTGACATTTTAAACCTTTGTTTCCTTTCATTCTCATCTATATTCAATTATGACGACTCTGTTTATAGGCTCAACATCTGGGCACAAATCTTCCATTACAAAGCATTTAGACTAAAGTATTGACTAGATACAACTTCTACTTCTAATTACTTTTGGACTAAAATAAGTTTAATAATACTCTACTAATCCTATTTCAACTAAACAAACTGGAGACAGTTTCAAGATTGACCCAAAGAAATAGAAAACTCAAATCTCATCTCGTAAACTGACACTCCATCACTATTCACTAAATTGGCATAACTCCTCAAAACATGTCAAATTTATGGAATGTTGCTATTGCTGGATAGATAATTCAATCACCTATGTAATGACACAAAATAACATGATTGCATTTTCACATTTTCAAAATTTTAAAAGTTATCATATGACTCTTTAAATGACCATGACTCTTTGAAACAATTAACCCTATTCCTAAGACACAAAGAAACTTGGAAGGAAATTTGAAAAATGCTTAAAAACACCAAAATCTTAACCACTGAAAAATTACAATTGCCACTGGTTCGAGAATCTAAAGAAACTTTATTTCTTCTTCCATGTTTCTTTCCTTGCTTCAACACCTTCATTATGTTGCCCCCAGGACTTGTGATATTCTTTTGGTTGGAGAGCATGTGCTACTTACTTTTTTTTTAATATTTGTAAGAGTTGTTCTCCCCCTAGGACTTGTGTTGGTTTCCCATTGGCCATAAGCTTTTGCAGATGATATGTCTGTATCCCTGAATAGAAGTCCAATTTGAGAAACTTTATTGTATGCATGAGTAAATATTGAATGGTTTATGGGCAAAGGTTAATAAAAAATAGAGAGTGATTAATTGTTTCTAGGAAGAGAGATTGCTTCCAGAAAGCATGTTGATAGGTTATGCTATCATTGGTTAGTAAATGTGCTAATGGTGGATTTCATTCTGAGCCTACAAACCATGCAATAAATTGAGAGTGCCAGCCTTTGTGCATGTATTATGTTTAAGAAATATTAGTTTCCTATGTGTTTACATAACTTATATAATATCATCATGTGAGCATATACATGTAGATGTATAAATTTTTATATCTATATATTTGATTCTTTAATGAAATGAAGTTTTATTCTTGAATGATTATGCACTGTACTTTTTATGTATACTTCTTAGTGATCACTGATTGGACCATTTATTACATTGGATTCCCTTTTGCCTGCAGGAACCCTGCCTATTATCACATATAAGAATTTACAATAAATCAGTTCTTGAATGGGAAATTGCAGCTGGCTTGCGTTACAAGGTCAGGGAATATTAACTAATTTTTAGTGGATCAAAGCAGTTGACAGTGCCTTGATGCTTATGTCGTCTAGGTTCTATGCAAACATATAAATGATAATGCTATGCTGTATATCACATTCTTCATAATCTTTGTCCAAACTTTGCTACCTTCATTTCAAATGCTCAGAATATTGACACTGTACAAAAATGTAATCTAGGTGCTACTTATTAATATCTTTAGAATAAAGGTAGTAGTTGTAACACAGAAGGAAAGATGCTCTACTGCATGAATGCTCTATGTTCTCTGCTTTTCCACATGCATTGCACATGATTCCAACTAATGTTTTTAATAGAACTGTTTGTCTTATTTATCCCATAATACTTCCAATAATACTTGTACTTTGCTTTCTTAAAATGCATATTTTAAATTATAATACTCTAATACTTGCTAACTACCTATTGTTGACTATGAGCTTTTTAAAGTTCATCATGCATTCTGTTGATTGTTTTCATTTCCAGCCAGAGGCATTTGCAAAAGTGCGCCCTCGCTGTGAAGCACCTAGACGTGATATGGTATACCCTATGAACTACACTCCATGCCGCTATGTGCGGATATCTTGTTTGCGTGGGAACCCAATAGCTATATTTTTCATTCAGGTAATATATGATTATAATTTCTTTCTTCTTTCTTTTTTTCTCTAAATGAAGCTTTTCTTTTTTCTGATATTTTATTTTATTCTTTTTGTACTTAATATGTGTAGTGGTTTATGACTATTGTTTGTGTCTACCTATCCTTTGCTAGCCATTAAATTTGTTTGTCAATTGGTTTTAATCAACTCAATTTCTTATAGGCTGGTTAGAGCAGGATAGGAAGATGAATTATATTAAGGTTCTTAAATTCTTAAAGGGATAGAAGTTTTAACTACTTAATAGTCTTGTTGCTATATCTTACCGATCTCATATTTTGTATTTTCTTGTTTTGTTGTTTTCAGTTTCTTAGTGGCCATGAGGTCGCCTCTTTTTATATTTTTCTAGTTATTTTGATCTAAGGGAAAGTAACCTTGTTCTTGAATACATTATATACAGTAAATTTGGTTTGATTGATCATCAAGCATCAATGATCTAAGGAGCCGAATTGATTTCCTTTGGTAGAATTTACACTACTCCCTTAGTCTAATTGCAACTCTTACATTCTAAGTAAGGTCTATTGGAAACCTTTCTGTTGATTCAATTTCCTCTCTAAGGATGATTTAAATGCAACCTTTGAAAGCCCTAAATATAATATGTATAAGCCTTAGACCTGTAGGGGGTGTGAGATCCATTAGGGCTTCCATTTCTTAAGGTTGGGCATGGTCTCTATATATTTGAATGGACTAACTAAAAAGGATGTCAGATGTACTCACTACTCACAGCTCTAGATGGAAAAGAAAATCTTTGATGTCTATTGAATTGACATACTTTACACTGACGACTAGACTGTGTACCAAAAGAAGGAACGATGTTTGCATAATTGCATGTTCTGCAACAAAGGATGCCCATGACATAAAGCAACTGAAAAAGTGACACTGAAGAAGATGATTGTAGAGCATACTCTTCAAACCACCATGAAGATGATGTAGGTCTGCTAATTCAAGTCCTCCATCAGTTTGATTCATTGTCTAAGATGTAATCAGTCCTCTAATACCAAGATTAAACTTAGTGATTAGCAGAATAGAACAGATCTGAATAACTGTATAAGAGAGATGGCGAAGAGAAGAGGTAAGAGAAGAAGAAGTCGAATTATTCACCCTTCTCCTCTAACCCTATTTTATTAATCTCTAAAAATTGATGATGACAAAGTATACCCTTAAGTGGGCGGCCAGCTTGGGAGTTACATAAAGAAAATAAAATAAGAACAAATAACAGGCCCATTAAGTGAGGCCCATCAACATAAAATAAAAGATAAAATAAAGGATATCACACGAAAGGCTGTTAGGGCCCATTCGGCCCAGTCTCTTTAAAGTCTAGTACTGAAACACATAATGAGTACCGTAACAAAACAACTAAGAGATTTAGTTAATTTGCTCAGTCATAAGATTAGAAGTGTGATGGTTAAACTACCCTTTGGCGTGTGCTGGTCTGTAAGAAAAAGAACAAGCACATTTTTGAAAATACTACTAAAAAAGGAATCTGATTGTTGATACGTGCTACTTGAATGCTAAATGGTCTCTTCTCATCAAGAATTGAAAGATGTCTGAGAAGAAGATTTTGAGAACAGGCTTTTGTTTCATTGGTGTGGAGATTGGGCTGGGTTTAACTGTTATTATTTTACAATGCTTGTTTTGCTTTTGCTTTTGGTTTCTTCTGAAATCTCATTACCAAATGGATTGCATCATTTTTTCTCTTTTAAAAGGAAATTTTACTTTTACTATAAAAAAATAATATTGCCTCTTTTAGTCATGGAAGTCGTTAAAATTATTCTAATAGAAATTCTCTTGAAGAACAAATGATGTTGAAATTTCTTCCATATCTTATTTACAATAGAATAGCAGTCCAAGTTATATGTCTAAATTCCTAGCATCTTATCCCTACTGTGTGATTTTCCTTGGCATAGTTGTCAAGGCGTCCAGGTAATTTTGGGCAAAAGTGGGGTTCCTAGTTGCCTAAGAGGGCGCCTACGAACTTGGTTAGTTCCCTAGTTTTATATACCAACCAGCATGCATATCAATTAAAAAATAGCAATTCTCTTTATTAAGAACATCATTTTCCTCTGAAAACATGGCAAATCATCATATATAAGGACAAAATTATTTTCAATAGATTTATTTTTAATGTTTTGAAAAATAATACTAATATAACAAGTATTTAATAGAGCAACTTCATATCAATTTAACAATGCAGAAGGCTGTAATTTGGAATGTTTCTTCCAATCTATCTTTGTTTTTTGTTTGGACTGCAGCCTTGAATAAAATATTTAGGGATAATCTAATTGGAAGGAGAGGAGAGTTGCGGTGGAGGATGTGATTTGTGTAATGTGCTGCAGAAATGAAGAAATCACCTAGCTATTTATTATTTCCATTGTGATTTCTCTTTTAGGATATGGGCAAAAGTGCTGGATGTTTTTGGAGTTGAGATCAGTAATTTAATAGGCGTGCCTAGGCGCACATGCGAGGTGCATTTTAGGGTATGCACCTCACCTAGGTCCTACGCGCAACCCTTTCAAAAGGCGCATGCCTGGTGCGTCTGATGCACCACCTTGCGCCTCAGCCCAGGCGTGCGCCTTTTGAAAATTTGACGCCTTTTTTCTTTTTTTGAACCTAGCGGTTCATGAACAAACCGGAGCTCCGAGAACCCCCTATTTGGTAATGTTGTTCATTCATTCATCCTAATAAAGTATCTTCTTAAAAAGCAATTAAAATTATAAAATTGTTATTTTTTGTATTTATAGACAGCCCAAAAGGGAAATCCACAATACAACAAGGGAGATCGGTGCATGCTTCAAATGGACAAGGAGATCAGCTAATGGTTTAGTTGACACGTTGGCTAAACAAGGGACTGTGAGGGAGAGTATGTTCTGGGCAGTTTTGTAAGAAAGATAACTGGGGCTCAACACCTACTTAGGGGTTGACAGCTGTACTTAAATCTGGAAAGCTATTTTAAAGTTATTTAATGAAGTTACCGTTTCCAATAAAAAGAATTGTTATTTTTTGTGTGAGAACTAAATTGGCATAAGACCCTAACATGGACTTGTTTGGGCTTGCCTCGAGGGGTGTGGCACAAAGGCAGCTTGTAGAATCAGGAATGTAATATGTTTTACATCACATTAGCTACTTGAAGTAATGCAATTGAGGAAAAAACAGAGATTATGGCTTTTACATGCTTGAAAATGTTTTATATGTTTGATTTGATTTTTAAATTCTCATTTGAATATGCTTTGCATGTTATATTTATGTATTTTAATTTTAGATAATAGGTTTTTTAAAATATGTTTTTTTAAATTTAAGTTTATATTTTTATTAATATTATGTTTATTTTTTTTTGATTTTTTGAAATTTTTTGATATATGTTTTTGATTTTTTAGCATTTTTATTATTTTTGTGCCTTGCTTCAAAAAGGCACACGCCTTACCATGCGCCTCAGGTGCAAATTGACCCCTGCGCCTTTTTTTGCGCCTTGTGCTTTTAAAACACTGGTTGAGATCTGTTTTCCATGTAATGTGATGAGATTCTTAGGTGCATGGGATATAAAAGGTTTTAGTAAATCTGGCAGTGGCTTGGAGATTTGAAATAGTTATGTTCTGAGTTATATAGGGAGAAGGAATGCTCATATATTTGAAGGAAAACAGAACATAGTAGAGGAGATTCGAAATAGTGTGATGGGCATGGGTTTTCATGGCTGTCTAGTCATATTATTCAAAGGAAAAACTAAATTACTTTTTTTTTTTTGAATAGGGATGATATTTTTGTAAAGTTATAGAATGGGTTTCCTGATGTACCCTTGTACATAATCTCATTGTACAGGGGATTTTTTTGTACTGTTGGTTTTTTGCAATGAAGTACTCTACAGTTTTTGTAAAAAAGGAAGGTTGTAATTTTATATGGAAAGAATTTAAGATAGTAATTTAAAGAGAAAATGAACAAGGGTGGACCCACTGTTTTATTTAATCTGAGAGAGATTTAAATTTCAATAGTAAACAAAAGAACAAAAGAAACCTTATTATCATTTTCTTCTTTCTGTCTTTTTCTTTTCTCAAAACCCTTGGATATTTTAAATTTCAATAGTAAGACTTCAAAACAAAGTATAGATAATATACAAACTATATAACAGAATATATTGACACTCATAGTAGTAAGATGTAGCCATAGTAATTGTTAAGGCACAAATAAGTGGAACAGAGGGACAAGTGTACAAGAAAAGGCCACGTCAGCCTTTAAGTAATGTAACTGAAAGCCAACCACTCGAACAAACTACATAACAAACTGGACAAGTGAGAGGCTGGGATAACAGAATTGTAACCGTGTGTTATAAATAAAGAAGGGAAGTCCAGAAGAGAAAACATTGATTATGGGAATTCGATCTCTCTCTCTCTCTCTCGTTTTAGGAGGCAGGCTTCCTCGAAAAGCCTTGAGTTAAGTAGTTACCTAACAAGTTGGTATCAGAGCTAAGATGCCAAGCACAAGGTCGTCCTCGATGGAGCACGGAGTTGACAACATGGAAGGAGAAATGCAAAGACTATCGACAGACATTAAAGAAATAAAAGAGAGCTTTGAGCCCTTGCTTGGGTGATTGGAACAGACACCACTGGTTCTGAATCAGGAAGGGCAAGAAGAATGCAGTGGCACCAGTCATCAAAGCGGATCAGGAACCATCAGAATGGCAAGAATCGAGTTTCCCGTTTTCGCAGGGGGGGATCCCACGTCCTAGCTTCTACGAACCGAAAGGTACTTCGATTACCACGATACGCCTGGACCTGATCGTGTTCCACTAGCTTCCACGCACCTGGAAGGAGAGGCGATCGTCTGGTACCAGTGGTACTGGCGACGACACCCAAGAGCCACATGGGCGGACTTCACCGGTGCCTTAACCATGAGATTTGGTGTCTCGGCTTTTGAAAACTATGATGAAAGCCTCACCAAGCTACGACAGACCGGAGAACGCACTGGTCGGAAGTTTTGTCAGTTAGCTGTGTGCATGCAAGGGTGGCCAGAGAACACACTGGTCGGAAGTTTTGTTGGTGGACTAAAAGAAGAACTGCGGCTGGAGGTTAAAGCCATGCAACCCACCACCGTTCTTGACGTAGCAGCCTTAGCTCGACTCCATGAAGACAAACTGAATCGGGCAAGAAGGATTAATCGACCCCTAGGAGCTGCGGTCAGACTAGGTATACCGAATCCGGAACATGGTATCTTGGGTAAACCGGAGTCCAGACCAGGAGTGGGAATCACAAGCAAGGAAGCCAACTCCGGTTCAGGCCCTGACCCAGCCAAGAGGTTAACCTGGGTCTAGATGCAAGCCCGATGAGAAAAGGGCCTTTGTTATGCGTGTGGAGACAAATTTGGACAAGGCCATCGTTGCAAGATCCAGCAAGTATTCTTCCTTTAGCCCAAAACCGAATATGCAGAGGAATCAACAGACATCGACGAGCCAGTGGACAACCAAGAATGGGGGCAATGGACAAAAGAATATCCGGACGTGTCCCTGCAAGCCTTGACCGGTCTTGCCTCCTCTCAAACTATGAGAGTAACCGGATTGATACAAGGGCGCCATGTATCGGTTCTTATATACAGTGGCAACACCCTCAATTTCATTACTCAAACATTTGTCAAACAACTAGGGATTCCGGTCCAACCATATACAGCATTCTGGGTGCACGCAGCTAATGGGAGCAATCTGGTGTGCGACAGTACATGCACAGGATTAAAACTGAAGATACGAGGACACGAGTTCGAGGTAGATCTACATTCCCTGGAAATCAGTGGAGCAGATGTAGTTCTCGGAGTCCAATGGTTAAGGCAACTAGGGCTGGTGATATGTGACTGGGCCCGTCTCACAATGGACTTTCAAGTGGGCAAATCGCAGGTGCATATTCAAGGGCAGATGTCCAAGGATCCAGGGCCCATTAACCTTGCCACCCTAAGAAAACAGGCAGTAGACCCAACCCACATCATTTTAATGCAGATAGACTCCCACGAGAACGGCCCAATTCTAGCCCAAGGAAGCAACTCTAGCAGATCTGAAGAGGCTCACATACAACTATAGCAGTTACTTCAGAAGTTTTCAGTGATCTTCCAAGAGACTAAGGAACTACCACCGGAACGTGCCCATGATCATTGCATTCCCTTGCTGCCCAGAACGGCACCCACAAATGTAAGGCCCTATCGTTACCCCTATTTTCAAAAACTAGAAATTGAGAGACAAGTGCAAGATATGCTTGATAGAAAAATTATACAACCTAGCTACAACCCATTCTCCTCATTGGTATTACTTGTGAAAAAGAAGGATGGGACATGGCGGTTTTGTATATACTATAGGGCCCTGAACAACATTACTATGAAAGATCGATTTCCCATACCGGTAATCGATGAACTCAGCCGGGCCGCAATATTCTCCAAACTAGACCTGAGATCGGGATATCATCAAATTCGGGTCCATGAGGGTGACATCCACAAGACCGCCTTTCGTACACACGGTGGGCATTATGAGTTTTTGGTCATGCTATTTGGGTTGACCAATGCGCCAACTACGTTCCAAGCACTTATGAGTGACATATTTCGACCCCATTTGCGCAAATTTATACTAGTTTTTTTTGATGATATACTTGTATATAGCGCTACATGAGACAAACACCTAGTGCATCTACAAGTCAATTTGGAACTACTAAGGACTCATAAACTCTTTGCAAAGGAGTCAAAGTGCGCATTCGGACAGACTCAAGTACACTACTTGGGGCACGTAGTTGAAAACGACACTGTAGCGGCAGACCCGGAAAAGATCTCAAGCATGATAAATTGGCCCCAACCTCAAAATGTTAAGGAGTTACGTGCCTTCTTGGGTCTAATAGGGTACTACCGGTGATTCATCAGAGGGTATGGACTGATTGCTGCCCCATTGACAAGTTTACTCAAGAAGAATGGATTCTGCTGGACTAGGGAGGCCCAACAGGCCTTCGAGATGCTCAAAACAACCGTCTTGTCCCCATCGATGCTCACACTTCCAAATTTCTCAAAGGACTTCATCATTGAATGTGATCCGTCAAGCCAAGGAGTGGGTGCGGTTCTCATGCAAGAAGGAAGGCCACTAGCGTTCTTCAGCAAAGCATTGACAGGACAAAAATGGGCCAAGTCAGTATACAAACGAGAACTGATAGCAATTGTTCTTGCAGTTCAGCGGTGGTGACCCTACCTTCTAGGGAGGAGGTTCATCATACGAACTGACCACCATAGCCTGAAATTTTTGTTGGAGCAGTCAGTATTATCCCCGGAACAGCAGCGATGGATAGCCAAACTACTCGGCTACGATTATGTCATTGAATACAAGGCAGGACACACTATCAAAGTGGCAGATGCACTGTCACGCCAACCACAACTATTTCCATTACTTCTCACGGCCCCAACATGTTCCTTCATGAATCAGTTAAGGGAAGAAGCTGAATGACACCCACAACTGAGTAAGCTGCGTTCACAGGTCCAAGAGGACCCTACCAGCCACCCAGGGTACATAGAGGGGAATAACTTGCTGTTGTATAAACGCCGATTGGTGATACCACAGGATTCAGCCCATATTCAGCAGCTTCTTGAATTGTTCCACTCGTCACCAGCAGGAGGGCATTCAGGAATTTTGCGCACTTAAAGAGACTAGCCACCCAATTCTGTTGGAAAGGCATGCGGAATTCGGTCCAAAAATTCATAGCCGAATGCGTCATTTGCCAGAAAAATAAGGCTGATACCCAGTGTCCAGCAGGTTTGCTACAACCACTTCCAATTCCTACACAAGTGTGGGCATGGACTTCATAACGGGGCTCCCCCTTTCCTATGGCAAGTCCGTCATTCTCGTAGTTGTTGACAGATTCACCAAATACTGCCATTTTCTCCCTCTCTCCCACCCCCTTACAGCTTCAATGGTGGTTGAGGTTTTTACCAAGGAGGTGGCACGACTGTATGGTACCCCTAACTCCATTGTCTTAGGCCGCGACCCAATTTTTATGAGTCGTTTCTGGGCAGAACTTTTTCGGTTACAGGGAGCGAAACTCTTCAAATCTACCAGCTACCATCCTCAAACAGATAGGCAAACTGAGGTGGTCAACCGGAGTTTGGAAACCTATCTAAGGTGCTATTGCAGGGGATAGGCACGTCAGTGGCTCAAGTGGCTTCATTGGGCGGAATGGTGGTACAATACCACATATCACAGTGCGGCAGGAATGACTCCATTCAGGTCTCTATATGGACGGGACCCACCTACCCTACTCCCATATGAGAAAGGGTCTACAGCAGTAGCAGCAGTGAAAGACCAACTCCTCCAGCGGGATATGGTGTTACGAGAGTTCAAATCCCACCTCCGTTGAGCCCAACAATGGATGACAGACTCTTACAGCAGAAAGCATAGGCCCGTCCAGTACCAGGTTGGGGATCAAGTCTTCCTTAAACTATAACCATACAAGCAAGTTTCAGTAGCAGGCTGCGGGTGGAACAAACTGAGCCCAAGGTACTTTGGTCCATTTCGGATTGTGGAACGCATTGGGTCCGTGGCATACAGACTTGACCTTCCAGCGATGTCAAAATTGCACCCCATATTTCATGTATCTCTATTAAAGAAATGGCCGAAAATGGGAGCAACAACAACAACAACCCGCCCATCATTCTCGGAAGATGGCCAAGTTCAAACTGAGCCCATCCAGATAACAGATTTCAGGTGGATACGCAAAGGGCATCACATCGAACCAGAGGCATTGGTGGTATGGTCAGGTCTCCCACTTGAAGATGCAACTTAGGAACCTTAATTAGACTTACAGAATAGATTCCCACATCTTGACCTTGAGGGCAAGGTCTCTTTCAAGGGAGGAGGGACTGTTAAGACACAAATAAATGGAACAGAGGGACAAGTGTACAAGAAAAGGCCACGTCAGCCTTTAAGTAATGTAACTGAAAGGCAATCACTCGAACAAACTACATAACAAACTGGACAAGTGAGAGGCTGGGATAACAGAATTGTAACTGAGTGTTGTAAATAAAGGAAGTCCAGAAGAGAAAACATTGATTCTGGGAATTCAGTCACTCTCTCTCTCTCGTTTCAGGAGGCAGGCTTCCTCGAAAAGCCCCGAGTTAGGCAGTTACCTAACAGTAATGATATTGTAATAAGGCACCTGCCTTTAGATTTTTGTCACCTAGGCATTGCCTAGACAGCACCTAGTTGCTAATTGCTATAATTCAAGGCATTCAGGTGAGGCCCCCAACCAAGGGTGCCTTTGCTTAGGTGAAGCCATGGCAACTATATTTCTTGGTTAGAAAAGTTTACTGTTTTCTTTTATGCTTCTCTTGGAAATGGCCTGGGTATGAATTTTCTGTTTTCTGAAATTATTTGCGATATAATCACCACCAGATTATTATTAACTCTTTTTTACAACATCCTCCTGCAGCTAATTGGGGTTTCTGTCAGTGGTCTTGAACCTGAATTTCAACCAGTTGTTAATCACTTGTTGCCACATATTATCTCACACAAACAAGATGCTAATAGTTTGCATCTTCAGGTAAACTACTAAATTGTAATACTTTAACTGTCCACTTCTTTTTTTCTTTCATAAAATCTCTATGCCTTCTAATGCTTATTAGTTTATAGGTACTTCAAGACATGACGAACCGCTTGCTTGTATTCCTTCCCCAACTTGAGGTAAACTTCTGATCTCTATTTATTGCAGTAGTGGACAAGTATCTAGCAATTCCATTCTCCTTTGTTTCTGTAATTATAATTAATGAATTATTTTGTATGGTTCAGGCAGACCTAAACACTTTTCCTGAAGCAGCAGAGGCTACCATGCGTTTTCTTGCAATGCTTTCTGGCCCATTTTATCCAATTCTTCAGATAGTTAATGAAAGGTCATTTTACCTTTGTCCTGCTTATACTCATCCTTGAACCTTTATGAGGCCTTTTTTGTTTTTTTGTTTTCTCCTTGTTAGTAAAGTAAATTTTATCAACTAAGAATAAGAGAAACATATACAAGATGCATACATGAGAAGACCAGAAAGGGCATAGAGCCAAGAGTGGAGGCACAAATAGACTAAAGGAGGCCACCCTGCCAAACCAGAGCTCTATACGATAATCACACCTTTACAGAAGATCCCCACTGCTTGAGCAATCATACAATAAGACCAAGAACCTCTCCACCAAATTTCAATGAAACCAGGAAAGAAAATACAAAGGGCCAACCATTTAAGCAATAAAGCGATGCTTACTGAAAAGCTATCAAGCCATGAAAACACCCCTCCAAACCTGCCTGAATTTACCAACCCAGGCCTAACCCAAGTTTAACCAAACACAACTTGGGCTGGCCTTGGGTGGGTTTGGTTGGGCCTGTCTGGGTTGTGATTGGGTTTCAAAGTTTCTTTGAAACCCAATCAATAAATGCTATTGATAAAAAAAAGTGCATAAATGCTATTGATAAAAAAAGTGCATAAATGCCATCAATAAATGCGTATATACAAGTTTTATACATACATACATACGTACACATACATATATGTGTGTATATATGTATATAAAGATGCTTTTGTATATATAAGTTTTATACATACATCTTTTTGTAATTGTAATTATAAAAAGATGCTTTTATAATGAATATAATGCATGATGTGTGTGTATAAGTATGTGGGCTGGCTTGGGTTGGGTTGGGTTGGGCTGAGTTTAGTTCAGGCCTGAACTCTTTGGCCCAGGCCCAGCCTAGAGCATGAAAGATCAAGCCCAACCTGTGCAAAAGCTTGGGTTTGGCCCACCCAAGTTGCAACTCTAGGGAGCAGGTGCACAAGTTGGAATAAGCAGTATGACTAATAAACCAAATCCAAAACCCAAATTTCAATCCCACAACCTGCTGCAGTAGATTTTTGATTATTTTTGTTGGTTTGAAATAGTATTGTATTAAGATCAGAAGAAGAGTACAAGAACTAGACCATGTACGTCCATTCTATGTATAGCATTATATGGCCTGTTAGCAAGATATTAACAGCAGAACAAAATAATCCTTATAAAAGCTCAAGCCCAACCTGTGCAAAAGCTTAGGTTGAGCTTGTCCAAATTAGAGCTCTAGGCCTCAGGCGCACAAGTTGGAGTTAACAGTATGACTAACAAACTAAATCTAAACCCCAAGTTTCAATCCCACAACCTGCTCCAATAGATTTTTATATTTTTTTGTTTGAATCAGTATTGTATTAAGATCAAAAGAAGAATACAATAACAAGGCCATTTACACCCATTCTGTAGGACCATACAGCCTGTTAGCAAGATATTAACAAGAGAACAAATATCCTTATAAGAAAATCAGTTATAATCTAGCCATCTAAACTCCTTGTGCAATAGAATGAAGAAGCCGATACCAATAAACATGGAACACATGTTTATTGGGGAAATAGAAATTACAACACTTGGTGAAAGAAACTTTGATGAAATCTGAGGAACTGATGATTAGCTATGATACCCTGGTAGCTGTACATGTCTTGCTTAATTGTATTGTATCCAAAACTTATTGGATATGATAACAGATAATGCATGAGTACTTTTAGATTAACTCTATTGCATTTACACCTTTATAATATGTAAAGTGGTATGTTTTAACAGATACTATAAAAATATCTGGACATGTTAGAAGTTTTATTAACTTCAGCAAGACATAAGTATTGAAAATGACATTTAGCTTTAAAAACTAGATATAAACGCATGATTTACATGGAACATCCATGCCTTTCCATGTCCATAATTTTAGGAAATGTAGTCGTATCCCTGATTCCTGTATCTATGTCTGTGACATTGTGTCCATATCTGCATCTAGGCATCATAGATGATTAAACAGTCTATGTTAGAATTATTCCATGGCTGAAGGTGAAAGCAAGAAATAACATTGGATGAAATAGTCATAGTGATTAGAGTTGAGCATACTGATATGTAAGTATGGCAAGAAGATGAAAAAAGCTCTTTCTGGGTGAATGGGCTATCCTAGGGGCATTTACTCCCAACTTGACCAACTGAGGGTAAACCACCTAGCTTTTAAGCAATTAAGCTGACTGAGCTGGTTGGTAACCCTATGTCATCTAATTAATACTGGGTACGGGTGGATTCGAGCTGAGCCGAGCTTGAATAGCTCACCAAGGTAGTACGAGGCTCGAGCTCAAGCTCTGTTTGAGCTAGAACCTTGAGCTCGAGTTCGACTTGAGAAAAATGTTTTATAAAAATAAAAAATTATATATAAAAAATATTTTTTATTTGATATTTAAAAAATTAAAAATTATAATAATTAGTTATTATTATATATAAAAATAAAAATAAAAATATCATATCTATAATATTTTTATTATATATTATTATTATTATTTTTTTGATAGATAATAGAAACTTTTATTAATAGAAAGATTAAAAAGGAGGATACAACGGGAGGGAGGGGTGAAATCTCTTAACCCTCCCTAAAAGTTTACTTAATATTACAAAACTGCCCATAAAAGAAAAGCTCTTCCCACCCCTTGCTTAGCCAAAGAATCCGCCAGGGAATTAGCACACCTTTTAGTCCACTGAAACTGAACTTCCATATTTTGAGTCAAAATGTTTAATTCATAGTTGTCAAGGCGACGCCTAGGCGGGTGCCTAGGTGACAAGGCGCCCTTTGAGGCTCACCTTGCTTAATTGCCTAGCAGTTTTGTACTATGTATTGTAAAATACTTTTTTACTCTTTGTTTTTTGACATTATAATTATAAAATAGGCACTATTAAATTAAAATACTCATTTTGTGTGTTTATATACTAATTCTTTTTTATTATTTTCTTATTTGTTAGGATTTGATCAATACAAACATTGCTAAATGCTGTATTCAACTCTGAAAGACTTTAAAACCTGAACCAATACAAACATTTCTACTACTATATTTTTTTGAATTTTCTTTTCCTTCTTTTTTTTTTCTTCTCATGAATATGTTGATTTTCTATACATTAACATGAATTCTTTATACTTTTCTTATGAAAATTATGAATTATTATTAAGGAAATATGGCTATGGTACCTAGGGAACTACCCTAGGACGGGCACCTAGGCAACAAGGCGCCCCCCTAACGCCCAGCCTTGCCTTGGCGCCTTGAAAACTATGGTTTAATTTTCTTTTTCTCATTTAAGTATTTCCACAAACTGAAGTCTTCCTTCTGCAGCCACCTAATAACCAGGCTCGAGTCACCTTCCACCACCAGTTTTTTGATATTCAGCTGCCATGCTATTTTAATTCCTTCCAACACTGCCAGTATTTCAGCCCTCAGAGAATTCCCCCAACCAATAGGCCCCGAATACATTGCAATAATTTGGCCTTCTTCATCCCTAAAAGCTCCACCTAAACCTGAAGGATCTGGGTTTCCTTTGCTGCTTCCATCAAAGTTCAACTTAGTTTAACCCAAGGGTGGAGGAGTTGGCTTGCGAGCCTCACGAGTCGAGCTATATTAAGCTCAAGCTCGGATCGATTAATAAAGGAGCCTGTAAATTGGGCTCAAGCTCAGCTCGAAGCTCGGTTGAAACCGAGCTGAACTGAGCTTTTCACGAGCTGAGCTCGAGTAGCTCGTGAAGAGCTCGGCTCATGGCCACCCCTAATAGTGGGTACTGAAGGAGAGGGAAAGTAGCAGAACTGTGGACTGCCAATTGAAATTCAATCGTGGACGAAGATAACACAATGTGAACTTGAAGGATTGTTTACCATTACATCAAGAAGGTAAGCTCATGAACCTTAAACTTTCCCTTGAAAGCTAGGTTGGTGGAAAGAAAGCAAGATGCAGTTGTACAAACACCTTATGGTTTCTTGTAAGGTCACTAAAACTGTATGGGAGTGGTATCTTTCCCTCTTTGGGTGTTCTTGGAATCCCCCTGAGAGTGTCCAGAGGCTGTTCTCTCCTACGTTTTTCAGATGGCCTAAGAAGAGAGGGAAGATTATGTAGAGGAGCATTAGGGCAGCTGTATGTTGGTTCCTATGGGAAGAAAGAAACTCACGAATTTTCTCAGACAAGGACGGAACCCTGGCAAACCTATTAGATCTAATACTTTTAAGGGCTGTCCATTGGCTAAAATCTTTGGAGCTGTTCTCAGACTTTCCTGTGGCTGACTTATTAAGAAATTGGAAAGAGATAGCTACTTTTGCTTTGTGTAAGAGGACTCCTAGTCCCTCATGATTCCCTCCTCCTGAATTTATAAAACTGAATTTTGATGGCAGTAGTTTGAGGGAGTGTTCAGGAATGAGGAGGGTGTTGTTATTGCCTTGTTCTCAGGCCCCATTGGGGAAGGAGACTCTTTTAGGGCTGAGATCCTTGCAGCTCTGGAAGGAATTCAAAGAGCAAGGGAACTAAATATCAGACGTTTGGTGGTGATTAGCTGGATGAAGGAAGTGGACAGTGGCTTGTGGAGCTATTACAATGAAAAGAAAAAAATTCTGTTGGTTGGGCAGAGACATTGAGATACACTATAGCTGGGTGAAGAGATCTGCCAACTCATTTGCAGATGGGCTGGCCGAGCAGGGGGTGAATAGGGAGGCTATCTTTTGGGCTAATTTTTAACTTTCTGTCATTGTATTCTGTTGATGGGGAGTTTAAGACTTTTTACCTCTCCTATTGTATCTAAAGCTTCATAAATATTTACATCAATAATAAAGTTTTATTGTTACTGGTAAAAAAAAAAAATAGAGGAGAGGCCACTAAATATCTTGCCTTATTTAGTAGATTTTGTATACAACAAAATTTGGGGATTTGTAAAGTATGTAGAAACTGGGGCATATCACAAAGCCCCTTATAGGTAAAATGTTATGGTGATGATATCACCATGTATGGCAGTTTTACATATTTATTTTCTTGTTTTAATCAATGAAATTCAAAGTTACAAATAAAAAAGAGCCTGGATCAATTTATGGGCTTTTAATGGCTGTAATAGCTTTCAGAATATAAGAGAAGATAGAAAGAAAATATGCAGAAAGTTCACTTCAGTATCAATCACTATAGAGGTGGCTAATCTTATTAGATCTAGGAAAACAAAAATGACTGAATCCTCACTACCATATTTTGATTCAAAGAAGATAAATAACTCCTACATTATTAAACTAATTATTGTGAAATTTTAAACATGACTAAGACTAAACAAATCAAGCTCTTAGACCTGATGAAACAATCATCTAAAGGACATTACCCAATGTCGGTCCCTGCCATTTGAGGTCTTGGGAAGATAGACTGGATACAGACCAAACTTTTGGCTTTTTTTTTTTGCACAAAGTGGCAACACTTAGACTCGAACTCACATTGTGATGCTTGTCAGCCTGAGGTTTTACCATTACATCAAGGAGTGGTGTTGAAGTTTTTTATCATTCTCCGTCCATCCAATTTCCAAGAAACAAAAAAAAAAAAAAACAAATTAAAAATTTTTTGAATCATAGCCATCTATTTGGTGACCCTATGGTCATGTGCTTTGCAACAAGTGTCGCCATTGGCGTTGTCTGCATTAGAGAGATTGCCGATCACCATGTTCATGTGCTCTACAACATGCACAGAGAAAGAGAGCGGGAGAGAGGGAGAGAGGAAGATAGGAAGAGAGAGAAAGCGATTCGAGGAATGAAGAATTAAAAAGGCATATGTAAAATATAAAAGTAAAATAAAGGAATAGAGAAATGGTGATTATCAATTAAAGCTTATAAGTTGTAATGAGAAGAGCAGTGGAGCTGCAAAGAAGAAATGTTCAAACGATGAACTGAGGAAGAAAGAGGAACGGTAAAGTTCAAGTGATTCAAATGAAAAAAGTATGAAATAATTAATGAGATACACACCTTTTGATAAAATGTATTAAAATATTACTTTGTTTGTTCCAAAAATCATCATACCTCTGTTGACATTCAATTCTTTTATTATTAAAATATAAAATGTATTAAAATATTACTTTCTTTGACCCAAGAATAATCATAGCCTCTGTCTTCATTCAATTCTTTATCATTAAAATAATATTAAAATTAAAGTTTTCAAAATTCATCATTCGTTGTATTTCAATAAAATTATATATTGATATATTTATTTAACATGAATATAATTGCATCACTAATATCGATGTACATATATGCATATATATAATTTATATACTTATACTATATAATCGAATCAAATAGACTTCTATTTGAATTTTGTTTGATAAATTAATGGGTAAAAATATTTTATTCGAATTCAACCGTTAATGGTATTTGAATAGTTCGAATTTGATTCAATGACGTCGAATCTCGAATTCGAACTTGGATTCTCAAATAACGTTTGCACCCTTAACCTAGTCGTAGTGGTTGTTATGTGGTGTAGGGTTTTTCGTTCTTCTCTTGGGTGATATTCTTTGTTCTTTTAATAAAATTTTTTATTTTACTAATAGATTTAGTAATAATAGGAGTGTAAATCAGGATACACCTAGGATTGGAAACAAAGAGATAACTCAGTGTGACCATTTCCGGAACCTTGGTTCAATAATTCATAACAAGGGAGAGATTGAGGAGGATGTCACCCATATCATTAGAGCAGGTTCAACAAAAAGGACGGGTGCATTTGGACATTTGTGTGATAGGAGATTTAGATTAAAAGGAAAATGAGTGTGGAGTAGAGTGTTGGACAATCAAGAAAAAACATGTCCAGAAAACGAGTGTGGTAGAAATGTGAATGCTAAGATGGATGAGTGGAAAAATTAGAAAGTATAGAATCCGGAATGAAGCCATCCATAGAAACCTAGGAGTAGCTCCTATAAGTGATAAATAGGCTAAGATGGTTTGATCATGTGCATAAAAGACCACCAATAGCTCTAGTTAGAAGAAGTGATGATTTGTTACAAGTGGAAGGGGCTAGAAGTGCTAGGGTAGACAAAAAAGGACATGGATAGTAGTAAGAAACGGTTTAAGCATGGTTTTCGAGCAGCTATTGACCTGGACGGTCGGACCATTTGGCCTGGGAACCATCTAGGCAACCAGTTTCCGTTTTACCCCAAACCCAGTCCCTGGCCAAAAACCATTGAATCAGTCAACGATCCATTGACCCGGGCAGTTGAATTGTCGACCCGTCGACCCATTCAATGTTTTTTTGGCCATTTTTTTTATTTTTAATTATTATTTTTTTTAATTTTTAATTTTTGTCAGAATGGGCCATCCGTTCGAACCGTCGACCCAGAAACTGGTGGTCAGAATAGTTCCGTTTCTGTGTTGTTTTTTAAAATCATGGATTTAAGCACTAATAATCTAATAGTGCATATGGTTTTAAATAGAATGGATAGGTGAAGCTAGCACTTTCAATGGGTCAGGTCTACCCGACAGACCTGAACTGACTGAGCTGATTATAACAGTTCTGGTTCCATGATTTTGTCCAGATTAATAATTGGGTTGGTTCTGGTTCTTACCTGTCCCGAACTGATTCAGACCCTGACCCAATTATTTTATTAAATATATAATATTTTCTTATAATTTTTATCATATTTTATATTTGAAATGGTAAATTTGATAGATAATATTAGTTAAAAATGTTTATTTTGTTAACATATAACTAATGTAGTATTTTTCTATCATTTTACTAGGGTTATATTATCAAAATTTAAATGTTAAGGTATTATTTAAATAAAAAATATAGTTTTCAGTATAATCGGGTCTGGACCTGATAGATCCAACTATTGACTGGGACAGTTCTGGGTGTGTGATTTTGTCCCAATTAATAATCAGTTTGGGACTGGTTCTACCTTGACCTGATCCATTGATAGCCCTAGGCAAAGCAGGATTCATGTAGCTGACCTCATATAGTTGGGTAAGGCATGGATGATGATGATGAGGATTTTACTATCTAAAAATGATTATCATCTCCAACTTCAAGTATGTTGGTTCAATTTGAAATGTTCAAAAGTATTGACAATACAATGTATGCTATAATTATGTTCTAAACTCCTGATTCTAATGTTGGTTTACTTGGCTTCTCTATTATATAAAGTGTTACTTATTTGAAGGTGGTAGTTGTAACTAATATCTGTATTTGTAGTTGTTATTTTCAACCATCATCAGTAAATGTTTTTAATTTATGAAAAATTTATCTATTTTTGATTTGTAGGGAAACAGCAAGGTCTTCAGGTAACTTTGTCGACTCAGATGTTTCTAGGATTAATCAGGCATCTACTTTAATGGTTTCCTCTAATTTTGAGGTAAGTGCTTCTACGTTCATATTGGTCTTTTTTCTCTTTATTTGCTTATCTCATTTTCTCCTTCACTTGCTTTATGACTCATCATTCATGTCTTGCCTTCTGTTCTAGTGAACACAATTCCCTCCATAATTTATGTTTGGATTCAGACATATTATAAGCAATTGCTTTTCCCTGGAATAACTTTGCAGTCTTTGCACATGATTCTTTTTGTTCTCCTTGTAAGGAAAAAATCTATTTGACTTAAAATTTGATCAACTTTTATATCTAATTAAGTATTTATTCTTCTTTTTAAATATATGTTTAATATTGACAATATTACAAGTAATTGCAAATTCTAAAACTGTTTCTCCTATTTCATTCCCTTCTGAAGACTAATCCCTATATGCACCATATAATAACCTGCACTTGTTTTCTCCATATGCCCATTTAAATCACCTATAGAAAATCTTCTATTTTCATGGAATTACTTTGATTTTTCCGAAATTGATTGTGGTTAGAGATAGAGACTATAACATTGGCTATGTAGTCAGATTGCATTCTCCTTGCAAACCTTATCTTAATTTCTCCATGTTAATAACATGGACAATTAACATTGTTTTCTTTTGATAATTATGGACAAATAACATTGTTAATATATGTAGTACAAGTGTAGAGATGGTGGACTGAATGTTAAAAGCTAGTGTGTCTTATTTATTTGTGTTAATGAGCCTTCTTACATGGGTTGATGTAACACTACTCTCTCATGCAACCTATGAAAGTCTATGAGTCACCATATCTCATTGGTTCCTTTTTTGTATCATTGTTGTTGCTGCTATTATTGTTTTGCTATGAGCATTGAGTTATCAAAAGGTTCTACCAATAATAAGTTGATCAGAGACATGGCTGTTGAGGTTGTAGAACATGCTGAAATTGGTCTATAGCTGGTCCAAAGAGTGCTTGTTGTGTTGCCATGACCAATGATATGATGATGAATTTTCTGAAGGCATGGTTCAGAAATTATATTTCGAATTCCATTGATAAATTATACATCCAAGATTGAAAAGCTCAGAATACCATTGATTTTTTTCTGATATTTCATTAAAATTGTTAATTTTTTAATAATTGTTTCCTAAACAAATTAGATGGTTGGCTTACTATTATAAATATGATTCACTTACTAAGACTTGAAAGAAAACAGAGAAAAAAGACAGCAACTACAAAAGAGGATTCTCACTCTAATAAATTCCATATTTTTAGTATTTTTTTGAGAAAAATTTCATAGTTTTAGTAACTTCCCTGATTTTATCAGATTATCTAAATATCATAGTGAAATTGGCAAAATATTCTAGAAATTTCCTCATCTCCGTGCATGGTGTAACACCCATGCATTCCAAAATTATGAATCATACCTTGAAGGAGCTTAGCATATCTCTGATGTTTCATACAGGTTCATTTTGGAAAAATCTTGTTTCTTGCATCTCAACTTGGTTTCTGTGCCCCTTTTCAGTTTGTTTGTGGTGTTGATATTAATGGCAGTTTACTCAATTTATCTTCTGTGCAGTCCCAGCCAAGGAGATCACGCAGCCCTTCACCTTTCATCCAACCTGCTTCCTGTTCCATAGTGTTTCGTTCAGATGTGGTGTTCATTCTTCTGAGGAAGGCATATAGAGATTCTCATCTAGGTACTATTTGCCGAACGGTAGGTATTGGAAGTGCTCTTTACCTGTGCTGTGGTGTTCAATTATTTTCCTTCTTTCCCTGGCTATTGAGATTATTCTGGTGATTAAGATACTTTCACTGTGCTTCAGGCCTGTAGAATTCTACAGAAGCTCATAGAGCCCGGTACACCACTGCAAGCATCGGTATTATCCAGTGAATTGACATCTTCAGTTTTTGATGAGACACTGAAAAGTGAGGCATCCAATTATGTGTCCTTAGCTGATTACTCAGTCTTGTTTGGAGAAGAATTCAAAATACCTGATGATAACTGGGAAACAAATTATTTTAACGTCTTGGATATTAGTTCCATAGAAGAAGGAATTCTACATGTTCTCTATGCTTGTGCATCACAGGTGAATTATGGGGTTTACATTCATTTACCATGTGGTCAGAAGATTACTTTTGTCCCTGTGGCATGTATATTGGTTAAATATAATACTAACATTTCTATCCCTTTTACTCTATTGTAATCAAATTTGCAGCCTCTTCTCTGTGCCAAGTTGGCTGATAGTAGTTCAGACTTTTGGTCTGTTCTACCGCTAATGCAAGCTCTTCTCCCAGGTACTACATATCCCTTTTTTTTCAATCCTTTTGGGCATAGGTATGACTTTGTTTTAGGATATTGTTTACAATGGAAAATTGGAAATATTGCACATATGGCGATCCATATAATGAACTGGTAATGTAATAACCATCATTTCTTACATCACTTAGAGATGTCTAAATGCCTAGGTACTATGACTACATGGCTCTAGATTGAAACATGGGAACTATATAAAGTTTCAGTTTATGACAGGTTGTCCTTTTTATCTTGTGTGCTTATAATCCAAAATTAAAGAGAAAAAAAAGCAGAAAGAGAAGAGATTTGCATTTTCAATCCAATTAGGTCTGCTGAAGACAGATAATAATGACTTTGTTTCTGATGATCATATTACAGTTCTCTCTGTAAATTCTTTAGGGATAATTAGTGTTAGAAGTTTAGATTGAATATTCGAAACTTAATATTCGTATATATTGGATTATCATATTAGGTTCTCTTTGGAATTCCTTCACATTCTTTTGGGAATTAAACGAGTTAAGTGCTTTTCTTTCTCTTCCTTCTCCCCCTTTTCTCAACTGAACTAAGCCTTGTCCCAATTCCCGACTATATGGGGTTTTGGCTACATGAATCATGTTCCATCATTCCATTCTGTTTAGTGCCATATCCATTGTTAAATTACAGGTCCTCAAATGATTTATCAATACTTCAATCCGTATCCTTATTTTTGCTAATAAAATGAAGTTTATTAAAATAAAAATAAGAATACAAGAAAGGTGACCAGAAACCACCCGAGAGAAGAAAGAAAGAAAATAAAAAACTCCAAATCCCTTCCAAATCTCCAAACTAGAAAAAACCTAACAAGAAAGAATCTACAAGAATCAAAATACTCCAACCATTGAAAAAACCAGCAGCCCTCCACCCCTAAATTGGATAAGCGGACTTCCAAAGTCCAAACTACAATCTCACAACAAACTAAACCCTATATGAGAGGACAAATAAAGAACAAGTCCCAACACAAGATAATAGTCCAATCCCAAGATGAATCGAACATGATTAGATTGTCCCTGCTCCTTTAGAGCTTTCTTGAATTTCATCACCTTCTTGCTTGGCCCAAGGCCAAACAATCCACCTCTTAATCTCACAAGAATTTGACACTAAATCTTCTCGCTGCAAGTGTAGCCTTCCTAAAATCCCTTAAATCTTCAGACTCCTTATTGGCGCTTTCTAATTCAAGCACCTTGTTCTTTTCAAACAACTGATATACTCCTAGACCATAGTTGCCTAGGTGGGTGCCTAGGTGTCGCCTAGGCAATCAATTTTTTTAAGTAAAAAACATATATATATCCTATTGGTAGCTATGGTAGTTCCCTAGGTTCCATAACCATATTTCCTTAATGTTTATCCATAATTTTCATAAGTATAAATTTCATGTTAAAGTATAGAAAATCAACATATTGATGAGGAGAAATAGAAGAAAGAAAATAAATTCAAAAGTTATTGGGGCTGAACCCCAATTTTTATTATAAGAAAAGAAGAAAAGAAAGCTATGAGACCTATGCACTAGCCAACTGCGTCACCACCCCATCGAATCGCTTACCAATTAAAAACGACCCGAAACTGGAACTGTTATGGCCATTGGTTTCTGAGTTGACAGTTTGGCCGACTGGTTCAAATGGACGGCCCGTTCTGACAAAAAAAAAATAAAAAAATAAAAAACAACCAAAGATGTAGCTCCGGTTACCCCAGAATTCTGACATATAGATGTATCTCAGTTACTGAGAAATCAGTGAATTTGGTGCTTGTAATGGGGGGTTCTCAGGCTTGCCTTGTTGTTGGGAGGTTCTGTTTTGTACTTTTAAAAGTTTAATCTAATAAATTTACCTTTCCTTTTCAAAAAAAAAAAAAAAACAACCAAAAACCATTGAAAACATTGTTTGGGTCAATGGCGGTTCCCGGGCCGAACAGTCTGATCGTCTGGGTCAATGGCGGTTTGAAAACATTGTTTGAGACAATGAAGAAGTGTGGCATGAATTGGTTCATCTAGAAGAAGGTGGGGGAAGACCAGTGAGTTCATTTGTTTGAAGGTGAAAAAATCAGCAGGTTTTAAGAACCAAGTCTCAAAACTTTCTTGGAGTGAAGGAAAGAGGAAGAAGGAGGTATCAGAGTGGATGATTACAAGGTATATCTGATCTGGAGAGACGAGCCTGCCAAAATGTCTAAGAAGTTCGATGCCTGAATCAGGATCAGATTCGTGTCTGGAAGAATCTCAAATACTTTTGCTGGATTTCGTCTGATGGTATCGTGCAAGACAAGGTCGTAGTAGAGGAAAATCATCTGGAATCAATGATAGTCAATTATACGGACCTAGCTGAGTTTGAAGGGGATGGAGCAATAGCTCTAGATATTGGGCCAAAGAGCATGGGAAGTCCAAGAAAGTCTGACAGTAGGGAGTTGGACCTGGGGTCTGTGGGAGAAACAACCGCAGAGGAAGGGGAGCAGTTGTTTGAGGAGGAAGTAGTGAGGAAATTGGTTGTAGTAGGTAAACTGGGGGTGGATCTAGGTGGGAGGACTGAAGGAACTTTGGAGAATTCTGCTAGTGGCACTAGTAAAACAGGAGATCTCAGAAATTTCAAAGGGTTGGGTAATTGGCAATTGGTTCATGTGACCAAAGTTTTTCACAGGTTCAAGGAAGGGTTAGTTGGGGACAACCCTTGCTGCAGATTTAAGAGACTTTACAAAAGAAAACGTGTGAAAATTAAGGCTAAAGGTCAACCCTTATTGAAAGATTGAGATAAGGTAACATCTACAGAGTTAGACCCGGCTAACACGGCGTCAGATTCTCTCCCTTCCATTCAAAAAGATGAGGAGTTGTCAAAGGAGGAGAGGGAAAGAAATGGGTTAGAGGTCCCTGTTTGAGGGGGAAGGTAAGGAGAGCTTAGATGAGAAGGAAGCCATTGAAAAGGTGGCAATGGAAGGAAGGGGGAAGGATGAAAGAACAGGAGGGGCGGAAAATAAGGAAGCCATAGAACTTCAGCTTGAGGAACAAGGGGAAAGGAGAGTGGGGGGAAGTGGAAATGAAATGCTCTCTAAGGATGGCATTCCCAAAAAGGAAAGGGTGGGTTTCGATAGTCTAGTGTATCAACAGGTTGAAATTGGGAAGTCTCTTGGATTATTCATTCTTGCAGGGGGGGAGGGAAGTGGTGGTTAGGAAAGCAATTGAACAATTTCAAAGAAACAGAAGGGAAGAGGCGAACAAACTGAATGTTTGGGGGTAAGGGGGGAAGGCGAAGGGGGAGAGGAAGGAATAGTGGATGAAGAATGATGGGGGAGCTGCAAAGCAGTGGTTGGTGAGGGGGGAAGCTTTTGAGGAATTATAGAAGTCTCGGGTTTGATAGGGGAGTTTTGTTTCTGGTGCCTTAAAGGTTGCACTTCATGCCGGCATTTTTTTCCCGGTTTTGTGAGTTTATGAAAGAAAAGATCAGAAGAGGTTCTGAAGACAAATGCTGGAATTTGGTCATGATTGTGGCAATTGTTAGTATCTTGGTTGCAATTTGGGTTCTGGTCTCTCCAGCATTTGTACTAGTTTTAAGAGAGGATTTGGATGTCAGATTAGGGGATATTTTGGAGCTTCAACTCTGCAACTTGGATGGATTTTAGTTCTGTTTTTTCTATTAGCTTTTTGGTGTTGGTTGTATATGGGTGATTCCTTATCACCTTTCAGGATGTAATGTTTTTCTTCTTTTAATGAATTTTCATTTTATAATCGAAAAAAAAAACAAGAAAAGAAAATGTGTTAATTAGACAAAATTTTAAGTTCTTCCTTATTGGTTTAGGTTTTGAAGTCTTTCAGGGTTCAATACAGCATTTAGTAATGTCTGTTGATTAAACCCTAATAAATAAGAAAATAATAAAAAGAAATTAGCATATAAACACACAATATGAATATTTTAGTTTACTAATGTCTATTTTATAATTATAATCTAAAATAATTAAGAATATAAAAGTATTTTATAACACAATGTACAAAATTGCTTGGCGATTAGGTGAGGTGAACCTCCATGGGTTCCTAGTCGCCTAGGCACTTGCCTAGTTATTGCCTTGACAACTATGTCCTAGACATTCACCCTTTCCATTGGCTAACCTGGCATGCTTACCTGATCTCTGGTTATCATGTCTGCCTTCATCTTTTGAAACATTTTCTTTGACTTCTGTTTTAGGCTCTCTCACAGGCATCGGAAAATTTTCCTCTAGATCTTTGAACATCTTCCTAGTGAATTCCTCTTCCTGTAAAATCGACAAACCCAAGGCCTTGCTCAATTCTACCTCTATATTCAATACCTTTTCCAAGTCAACTGAGTTTTCAATTTCATGGGTTTCATCCACTGTAATCTCATCTTCACTTGAATCACCTTCCTCTTTTTCCTCCCCTTTATCAACTGAATTCTCATCAACCTCCTATAAAGGTGTTGTTTGATTGTTTCTTTTTCTTTTATAGACTCTGGAACAAGATGAAACCAAACTCTCTCCTCCATCCGTATTGTCGATACTTCCTTGTCCTTTGTTTCTGATGCCGTATCTCTTCTCCACTCTTCCATTTTAACCAGAACCTTCTCAATTCTTACTTCTTTCTGACAGCTTGACAAGCCCAACCACATTGTTACCGATAGTCATTCTGGACCCACCTTTGGCTCTTACTTCTCTTTGATCTGCTTCCTAACTAGAATCTGTGAACCCACTCCACCCTTCTTTCCTGGAACCCGATTCCCCCAACCCAATCTTTCTCTTGAAACACATCCCCCCACTCTGCCCCTAACCTTTTTGGTTCTCCCCTCTAACACTTATAGTAAACCTTCTCTCACTTCTTTTTCACAAGTACCTAGAATTTCAGCATGCAGCCTCCCTTCTCAACAAGACTTCCTGCACTTCCATGTCAGCTCCAACCCCTAACTCACCTTTGTTCCCACCCTCTTCCTCCTCCTCTTGGATATTTTTGGAAGGAAGGAAGCTCCCACTTTCTCTTCGTTCAGAACCCTGATGCCAGAGAAAAACCCTAGATCATTTTGTAACTTCTGCCTTCAATACCAACATCCTGATCTCCAGCCATGTTCTGAATCGTACCACGACCTCTTCCACATGCTATTGCTGCAACTCCAACTTCCCTTCTTCTAGATGAAGTTTAATCCATAATCTTTTGATCAATCACCTTTCCAGCTCTGGAACTTCTGCCTTTCTCAATCTTTTCTTCCTTCTTATATTTGTACCTTGTGATGTGCTATTGATATTCGCCTTTCCCTTTTATCCCTGTCTGCATGCTGTCTATCATCTTTGACTCCCAAAGCCCTCCTTGGTTTTCCTTCTATTCAAATACATTCCCTTTCTTTAGGTTATCCTCAAGGTCTTGGCAAACACATCGCTTGGGTCAGTCTGCACTTCTCCTTGCCTGGATACAGCTAAGTTGGAAACTTAACTTAGCCCAACACATGTCTTGACCCACTGTCTTCATCACCAGTTGAAAAATATCCACATGTTTGGTATTAGGGTCCTCATGAGCCCACCAATTACTTGGCCCAATATCACCCATGGGCCAATGGACCAAACTACTTAATATAACAAGATTTTCCTTGTCCCCATTTTTTCCCTCTAATCCCCTTATATAATACCTCTTTGGCCTTCTCCTTCCTCACCGAATCATCTTCCTTCACTTTTCCCCTTTATATCTCTTCCTCTCCCTCCCCAACCTTCACCCTTTCCATTTCTCCAACTCCTCACTCCCCCCTTGCTCCCCTGCAACTCCTTTTCCATCACCATTGTTCTAACACCAAATGTAGGATCTTCTCCTTCAATTGCTAATCTGATTTCAAAGACCCCACCAATCACCAGCAAAGTACAGTTCTAATTTCAACAGGATTATTTGGACAGTCTCAGTCTCGACTCTCAACCAAAACTCATGCGAACTTGAGTTTATTCCACCTTTGATTTTGAAAGTTGTATCTCTTGAACTTTCAAAACACCTCTTCTATTGCTTTGAAAGTCTGGGTATACATATGAAGTGGTATCCTGTATAATGTTAATCCAGAAATAGCACCTTCCTACCGTATTCGTCACTTGCCTCACCATTGGATACTATTGACCTAATCTCAGTTCAGGGTATCTATATCTTTCTTCTGCTTCATCTCCTTGAATATTTTCTGGTTCTTCTTTTCGCTTGAATATGAACAGAATTAGACCAGTGTTCAATCGCCTCACTATTTGGAAACCTTTGTTTCTCCATTCATTCCAAGCCCAACCTCCAACATCTCTTTTGTTTGGATCTGAATCGAGGAACCTACCTACTAAGCACACATCTCAAACTTCTAATCTTACTTCCACCTCACCAACATCCTGCACAAACACTCCTGAAGATGCCATAGCTTCTCACACATCACAAAGGACAATAGGAGTATAGGACCACCTGGCCCAGAGGTATAAAACAGAAATTATGGGTGAAGGAGAATCAAGTGTTATGCTGAGCTTCAATATATTGTGTTTCTACTTCCCATATTTTTTGTGGGTAAATTTCAAGCACAAAGATGTCCACAGCTCATGAAAAAAAGAAAAAAAAAAAGAAAAGATGTCTACTGATCATCGGTAAGTCGATTCCAGCATAAGGTCAAGGTTCCAGGCTTTAAGTACCCAAGCAATAAAAGTGGAATCCCCTTGATAAAAGTAGTTCTTCTAGATTTTCCTGCAAAGGAAGTTTTGGGGTGAGTCGATCCCTCCAAGGGTTGGAGCCTTTTGTTGGGAAGCCTTTTTGGAAAGATGTAATACCTGTGACTTGCTTCAAAGAAAAGGGCCTTCTTGGTGCTTGTCTTCTAATTGGTGCATTCTTTGCAAGGCTAACGGTAAAAGCTCCTACCACTTAATTGATTTCTTGCCCCTTTGCTTTTGATATTTGGGACAGGTTTGTTGCTCTAGTTGGTTGCAGATGGTCCCCTCTGCCGAATATTCAAAGTTTGTTTAGTCCTTCTTTCCTTAGATGGCCTAAGAAAAGGGGATGGATTATGTGGAAGTGTGTAAGGGCTGCTATATGCTGGACTTTATGGGAGGAAAGGAATTCCGGGATGTTCTCTGAAAAAGAAAGAAATAAAGAAGGTATTATTGAAGTAATAACGGTTAGGATGGTGCAGTGGTTAACATCTTTGGACATGTTTGATGATATATCTTTGGGGATGTTGCTGAATAGCTGGGTGGAGGTGGCAAACTCTGCTCCTGCTCGTTCTGTTGTGTGTCCTGTGTGGTCATCACCAGACCTTGGGTTTATAAAGTTAAATTTTGATGGGAGAAGCGAGGGCAATCCAGGTTCTTAAGGTGTAGGGGGAGTCTTCAAAGATGAGAGTGGGTAGGTGATTGCAATGTATTCAGGTCCCATTGGGGAGGGGAACTCTCTTAGAGCTGACATTTATGCTGTATTGGAGGGTAGAAGGAAGGCAAAGGATCTGAATATACAAAAGCTTGTCGTTGAAGGTGACTCTAAGCTGGTTACAGAAGGGTAGTGGACTGGAAATTTGCTAATGAGAGAAGGGAAATTAAATGGCTAACTAGGGGGCTGGAAATCCAATTTCAGTGGGTAAAGAGAAAAGTAAATGCATTTGTAGACACTGCAAGGCAGGGGGTGGGAAGAGATCAAATATTTTGGGCTGTATTGTAATTTTTTATTTTGTTCTCTTGGGGAGAGTTTAGTCTTTTTACCTCTATCTGCAGTGCTGTAATTATTTTTCTCATCAATTTAATTTGAATTTGTTATTGATCAATAAAAAAGTAGCTCTTCTAGATGGTGATTCTTTTTGGGTACATTGTGAAACATCTCTTCTTCATGTTAAATATGAAAGGGAAAAATGCATTTCAAGCACTTTACAAATGCTTTAGGCTTTTATGATACAACCACTTGGACTGATGTAGATCAATTTTTTGAACATTTTGCTGTCTGTGGCATGGTGTAGCACTTCGCCCTCCTGTAAACAGCACTTTAGATCAAGTGGATGATAACTTTTTGCAGTGGAAACAGCCATCTGTGCAGCATGCTCTATCTCAGGTTATCATGTGATTTTGATTTATCATCACTATTATTATTATCATCATTACTATTACTATTCATCTATTTTGCACACATACAAACATATATGAATACATGTGTATATATGTATGTGTCTGTATGCATTTTGCTGACAATCAAATTATAATTGCAGATTGTAGCAGCATCATCTTCATCAGTGTACCATCCTCTTCTTCATTCTTGTGCTGGCTATTTATCATCCTTTTTACCATCACATGTTTGTTACTCCTAAATCCTACCATCCTCTAAATACAATCTTGTCTCTTTTCTATTTTTTATGTTTCTGGTGTCATGTTACTATAATATTTGTATTAATATCCTTGTTGCACAAATGTTTACCATTTTCTGGGTTCACCTTGAAATGCAATAATTAATGTTTTTAGAGTTCATCAAATCGCGTTCTATTTTGGATATGAATAGCATTAATTCATTTGGTCGAAAACTTCACTTTAGGCAAAGGCAGCATGTGTTCTAATTGATCTGTGTTCTGGGCCACTAGCACCATGGATATCTACTGTGATAGCAAAGGTTTGTTACATCATTTTGACCGTTCGTTTTTTGTTACTATTTCTTTGATTTCAGGACTAACCTTTGTTACAGGTTGACCTAGCTATTGAGATTTTGGAGGACCTTCTCGGCACAATCCAGGTTTGTTTATCATGTTCTTGCATATTCCATATAAAGTAAAGATATTTGAACTTATTTTTATTTTTATTTTTTTCAAATTGTGGCCAAAGGATGCCACTTTCGCAATTGATAGACAGGGCATCTTGAAAGATTGAATCCCCCTCCAGGTTGTGTTGCATGAACATGGAAAAAAATATTCTCAGGGATATGTTCAAAATCAATTTTACTATTGAAACATTTGGTATCTTGTGCATTCCATCATCATATTACTTACAGAAGATTAGGTAATTAAATAAGGTTTCTCTTTGTTACCTAGAACAATGTATAGGAAAAAGATGGAGTTCATCGTATATGCTAGATATTGATTTATGTTGAACAAGTAAGGAGAAGCATTGGCAGGAGCCTCATGCACTGGGCTGCCTTTTTTTTTTTTTTTTTTTCGAACAAGGAAAGCGGTAAACCATTTGTCCATTTAACAGCTTCCAGGAAATTGTTAAGCTAGATTCTGATGGATGCTCTTGGGAACCCAAATCTCTCTGGTGTTGGTTGATCCAGAAGGCCACATTATTGTGGTCTATCTAGTTCTGGTCAGTCAACAGAATACTCTATATAAAGAATTTGGTCCTCATCTATGGCATCAGATTACTATTTTTGTTAGGTGTTGAGGGTGGATGTACAAGCAAGGATCAAAGTATCGGTATCGGATAGCTCAGATATGGATACAGATACAGATACACTTTTGAAACACATAAATACGTATGAAAGATATGGAAACACTTGAATACACTAAGAAATGCATACAAATCACATACATACATTAATAACACTAAATCTAAAGCTGAATCATCTATGAATAAGATATAAAGACATGAGAAATGCCACTTTAATAGGTTATATGAAGAAAAAGATTACAATCAACAATACCATGACTCTAGAACATGTACACATCATACAATAATTATTACTTTATTTCAGTTTTTATAATTATAATTTTTAATATTATTAAAATTTGTTAAATTTATTTAATTATTATTTTGATATAAATAATGACACTACTTTTTCAAACAATAAATATGTTTTCATTTTTAACATATAACTGTGTGGTTTTACACATAATTGTTATAAAACATATAAATCATTTCAGGAAGATAAAATAAATTATTTTTATAATTTTTACGTTTTTTGTTATTTTTTGGGGGAAATTAAAACTTAAATTATTTATTTCAGTTTTTAAAATTATAGTTTTCAATTTTTATTAATTTTGTTGGGAAAATTTATTTATTTAGTATTTTTATATAAATAATAACTTTATTTTTTCAAATAATAAATATATTTTCATTTTTAAAATACAACTTATATGTAAAATATATATCATTTATTTATTTAGTATTTTAATTTTTGGGGGAAATTAAATCTTAAAATTTTTTTTCCAGTATTTATAATTATAACTTTCAACTTTTACTAAAGTACAAAAACAATCTAAAAACAGTCAGTGTACAGTTTTATCAAACTAGCCACCATACACTTTCGTATCGGTGCATATCGAGCCATATCCATCGGTATGGTCCGATACGACCCAATATGGAGGCATATGGTGCTGATATGCACGATTTGTGGGCATATCCCGTATTAATGGCCATGGATACCGATATAATATGCCCTGTATTGGGAGAATTGTATTGGTACTTTAAACTTGGGTACAAGGGAACTCTCAAATGATTTTTGGATGGATGGTTGGTGGCTTTATTTGTTCTTTCTTGAGAGTTTATCATATTATTTAAACCTGAGCATTGGCATCTAGGTTTTACATCTTGTTCAGATTTAGTTCTGATCTTTAAATCTCTGCAAATTCTTTAGCTTGGAGTGGGCTGGGGAGTGCTAAATTTTACTTGGGCAGCTATATTACTAGTTAACTATATGGGTGTTCTTCTCCCCTTGATGTTTTCTCTAGTTCTTTACAAATTTATCTCTCCCTTCTTAATTGTGTAATTCTTTGGTTTAATTTTAATGAAATCATTTCAGTTATAAAAAATGTAGAAGGGTCATTGTAGTATCCTTCTTGAGTGTAGGGAAAAGCTCCCTCTATTACTGACTCTGCCAAGTTGCCCATGACACACCCGCCAAAATTTTTTAAGTTGATGGTTTTATGGGATGGGGGAGACCACCCTCTATTGTTGATGTCTCTTAGCATGATGAAGCTTCAATTCTCTGCCATCCTTTCTTAACATCATCAATTGCATAACAAGGCAATTGATTCTCTAAATTTTTAAGACTATCCCTGATTTATTAGTGGTTTATTTTGTTTGCAAGTTAATTCATCTTGTTGCTTTGACATGTGTTTAGGGGGCTTGCTATTCTATTACTCGAGCTCGGGCTGCTCTCAAATATTTGATTTTGGCTTTATCTGGACATATGGATGATATACTTTCTAAATATAAGGTGCTTCTTTACACTTAAGTTGCTCTTTGCTATGTCTGTATTTTTTGTTTTCATGTTTTGTATGGCTCTTTCAGTAAAAGCTCCATTGAAAATCATCAGCATCATCATCCTTGCCTTTTTCCAACTATATGTGGTTGGCTCTCCATTGAAAATTATGTGAACCTATATTTTGCAAAGCAAAGAATGGATTGAAGGGAAGAGCCAAATAACTGACCATACTGGTCTGCGAAGAAGCTAGCTTTAAATTTCTTATTCTGCCAAGAAAAACACTATTCAAATTACCATTCATTCCACTCTGTTGAAATACTTAAATATCTCTGAAATAGCTTCTTAATCTTTCTTAAACCTACCCAATCTGTTATTAGATACTAGGACCAATGAATTAGAAGTAAAATATACCCATAATCCAAATAAGTAGATTTTATTACATCAATGACCCTCAAAAATTTTAAATAAAATTCCTAAGAAAAGATTTTAAAATGGATTAGGTTAGAAAACTAACTAAATGCCATAAAAGGTTCACCATTTTTGTCCCCTTGGCCAAAAGTTGATGATTGAATTTTGAAAGAAATCTGGCTGTCCACCTTCCTATTGCTGCATTATCTTCTTCCTCTGATACAATCATTTTTTTTTTTTTTTATAAATAACAATACTAACTTTTGTTAATGAGAAGAAATATATGAGTACATCATATTGGAAAACCCAAGTAGGGAGACTAGCCTCAACTAACCTCCATAAAAGATGCATCAGTCCCTAACCAATTTGGCCCCAATCTTGATACCCCTTGTTTTGCTAACTCATCTGCCAATCCATTGGCAGCCCTTGGGACCCACACCACTTTTGCCTGCAACTCTTCTATAATTCTTTATAGTTCTCTCAACATATGTCTGTAATTCCTGGTTACCTTCTGCTCATTCTTTATCTACTCTTCCATATTCTTTGCCTTTTCCCTCAGACCTGTGATTACTGCCAAGTCTCTATTGGATCATTTTTAGGCTTATGGAATATGTTCATGACAATGAAAATGTTCTATGGATCCAATGGTCAGATTTGAAAATATGGCTTTTCTGAAACCTTCCCCAAGAAATTATACAAGATTGCTCCCATTGCATTGTCTTGAACTTTTTGCTCCTTTCTCTTCTTTCAATCCTTGGAATTGCTGGTAGACTGATTTTCATTAGACTCTCCGTCTTGAAAAGTGAATTATCCTTGAATTAGTATTGCCTTAGAGATCAAGCTCAGGCTTAATATAAACTTCCTTCCCTCCATTTATTTTTTATGCACTCAATGGTTATCCACGTTTTGACTTTTGGCCTTCTAACTTTCATGTTAGATCACTTTGAGCTTGATTTTTATGCGCTTGATGAATTATCCTCACCAGAGGAGGGTACACAGTGCATCCCCTCCGGGGGTCCGGCCATTTCTGTCCTCACCAACCCCTTTTTCCTCAGATCTTCAGAGATCCGATTGTCTCAACCTTGTCCTTGTTCCTACACCAGGCTACTGCTGATTCATCATTTTGAAGTTTTAGCATATATTTATGATTATGAAATGAACAATGTTTCAAGAAGATTCAGTGGTTGGATTTGTAGATATGGCAGCTTGGAATTGAAGACCAATCTGTTTCATTTCTTTAATCTTTGCTTCTTCCTTTCAATACTTTAATTTTCTAGTAGACTTTGTTGCATCCGGTTGTCTCTATATGATAAATTGTTCCTATGATTCTTCTGTTCTTTTGGTTTTTATTTACATGTTATCTGGTGTCATTAACTGATCTGTTTTACATTTTCCTTTTCACACCTTTCAGGAAGTAAAGCATAAGATACTCTTTCTGGTGGAAATGTTGGAGCCTTTTCTTGATCCTGCCATAACACCAGTGAAAAACACAATTGCTTTTGGGGATGTGTCTGCAATTTTTCTAGAGAAACAAGAACAAACTTGTGCCATAGCACTCAATGTAATCCGTACAGCTGTACATAAACATTCGGTTCTTCCATCGATGGAATCTGAATGGAGGCGTGGATCAGTGGCTCCAAGGTAGTATTAATCTGTATCTATTTCTTGCAAGGAGAGATACATAGCATCTTACTGGTTGGTTTTGCATTTAAAACCTGAATGACTATTTGGTTTTGTATCTCCTTATGTTTGACTCTTACGTCTTGTTTCAACTTTTGTTGAAAGTTCCACAAAATTTCATAATAACCATCAGCAGTATATACAAATTACAATCACTATGAATTTTCACAAATATTCAAATTATTGTGATCTGAGTAAGTTTTTAAGAATTGTTTTGCTTTTGTTTTTTTTTTTTTTTTTTTTATCTGGAAAACAACAGGAAAATTGATATGGTAGAAATATTCATCATCATCTAAGCCTTATCCAACTATGGAAAAATCTCTGATTCCGGAAAGACTTATGAATGCCCACCTGATTGGTTACCTCTTTTATGATGCCGGTTGATTGGTTATAAGTTTTTCCAGTATCATGTCTTTCCGGCATCATAGTTGACCCCACCCCCCACGAACTATATTGGGTCAGCTATATGGTAACAATATTGACACATGTAAAACATTAGATTCCAAGTATTATTGTTCTCATAAATTAAAGCTCTGGATTGCATAGTTTTCAGGGTGCCAAGGCGAGGCTAGGTGATAGGGGGGTGCCTAGGCGATGGATTTTTTTTAAGTAAAAACATGTATCCTAGGGTAGTTCCCTAGGTTTCATAATCATATTTCCTTAATAAATTATCCATATTTTTCATAAGAAAAGTATAAACTTCATGTTGAATTATAGAAAATCAACATATTCCAACATATTCATGAGAAGAAAAAGAAGAAAGAAAAGAAAATTCAAAAAATATAGGGGCTGAACCCCTATTTCTGTTATAGGAAAAGAAGAAAAGAAAAGGTGGAAGAAGAAGAGGAAATTAGTATATAAACACACAAAATTAGTAAAGAAAAAAGAAGAAAATGTGTTGATTGGACAACATTTTATGTTCTTCCTTATTGGTTCAGGTTTTGAAGTCTTTGAGGGTTCAATACAGCATTTAGCAATGTTGTGTTGATTAAATCCTAACAAATAAGAAAATAATAAAAAAATAGTATGTAAACACACAAAATGAATATTTTAGTTTAAAAATGTCTATTTTATAATTATAACCTAAACAAACTAAGAATATAAAAGTTTTTTATAACACACTATAGAAAACTGCTTGGCAATTAGGCGAGGCAAGCCTCCAAGGGCGCCTTGTCACTTGGGCGCCCGCCTAGGCGTTGCCTTGACAACTATGCTGGATTTTATTATGATCCTGTTCAGATCCAGTTAGGATATAGACCTTAAAAAAATATCTGTTTATTATTTGGATCAATACCTTATTCTCATTAATCCAATCCAATAATCCTGTTATATTCCAATGTACACACTGATTATACACACCTGTTCCAAATCCAGACCACAGACAGCCCTTGTTTTTTGATAAATGGTGAATTTTATTGGAAGGAGGAGTTCCTTTGAAACAGAAAAGATACAATACTGTTATCAACAGGTTAAAAGGAGCTTACTAAACTTCCCCTAGAACACCATGAAAGGATTGAAAATTAAAGAGTTCCCTATCCCTGCTGAAATGATCAGTAGTGGTACCCTCAATATCCTTGAGAATTACCACCCATTGTCTGAAAATGCCCTCCATTTTCCCAATGATTTGTTTAGGGTAGTCCTTTTGTATTTAAAAATCCTCTGACCACAGACAATCCTTATTTCTTGTTTGAGCAATTATTGTGAAAACTTCAGGTCTAGACTATATCATATTTCAAAAAGCTCAAGTGTATTTATTTTGATTTTTGAAAGCACTAGGACAATCCATTTGGTTCGCTTTTATCCTTGGTGACAAAAAGTGCTGCATTAAGTAAATCTATATAATTAAAACAGTTGGTGACATTCAATAGCAACTGTATCTTTATCTTTTGTTGGAATGGATTGAGTCATACAAGTTTCTTAATGCAGTGTACTTCTTGCAATTTTGGGACCCAACATGCCATTGCCACCTGAAATTGACCTTTGTAAATGTCCAGTTTCTAAAGCTGCTGAGCAAGAATCTTTCTCTGTTCAATCTGTATCTTCTGTCCCTCGTCTGGGAGGTTCCTCTTCAAAACCTAATAATCAAGATGAATGTGATGGGAAGGCTGACCTGTATGAAGCATCCAGCAACATCGATGCTTTTGAAGACGTAAATCTTTTGTTTGCTCCTCCAGAGTTGAAAAACATATCACTGAGGAATGTCTCTAACATTTTTGAAGCAAGTATTCCCGAGAAAAATGGCTCAGAATCTGTTCATGTTGATAACAGCATTGAAGGGAAACATCTAATTGAAAAAGGTCCGAACTACCAGTTTCAGAATGGCCTAATCATGGATGTTGGATTTTCTATTGAATACTTTAACATGCAGGCAGATTACCTGCAACTTATGAACCATCATGAGTCTGAACTTAGGGCTTCTGAGTTTCGACGTTTGGCATTAGACTTGCACTCACAGCATGAGATTACCATGGAGGGACATGATGCTGCCATTGATGCATTGCTTTTAGCAGCAGAGTGCTATGTCAATCCTTTTTTTATGACAGCCTTTAGAGGTGTTCCGAAGGTTATGAACAAGATGAATTTTAGTGGTACTACAATTCCTCAAAAGTATGAAGTTGAAGATCTGAGAAGGGTCTCCAAATGGAATAAAAATGACTTGGAAATTATAGCTCAACTTGAAAGAAAAAGAGACAAAACTGTGCTGCAAATACTTCTTGAAGCGGCAGAATTGGACAAGGAGTATCAAATAAAGGTATCAAATGGGGAAAGTTGCCCATATGATATTGCAAAAGAAGAGCGTGGCATAAAATTATCTCCAGAAGATCTGAATTCTGCAGATGCTGTGACATTGGTTCGACAGAATCAGGCTTTGCTGTGTAATTTTCTGATTTTACGATTACAGAAAGAGCAATATTCTATGCATGAAATCCTCATGCAAAGCCTGTTATTTCTGTTGCATTCGGCCACTGATCTATTCTGTCCTCCAGAACATGTAATTGACATCATACTAGGATCTGGTGAATATCTTAATGGTCTTCTTACATCTTTCTATTATCAACTTAAAGAGGGTAATCTCCAGCTGGACCCTGAGAAAATATATGCTGTGCAACGAAGATGGGTGATTCTTCAAAGATTGGTCATTGCAGCTAGTTCTGGTGATGAAGGGCAAGACTCAATATTCAACTTTAGCAGTGGATTTCAGTACCGAACTTTGGTTCCACTTTCATCCTGGATGCAGAGAATACCTAAATTCTCTTCTAGCCCCTACCCTCTTGTTAGGTTCTTGGGGTGGATGGCAGTATCTCGTTATGCAAAAGGTTACCTCAAGGATCATCTCTTTTTTGCCTCTGATCTGTCCCAACTGGCATGTTTACTATCTATTTTTGCTGATGAATTTGCACTGGTAGATAATGCAGTCTACCAGAAAGATGAGGCTCTAAGGTCTGAACATACAAGAGATGCACAAGATCATCCAGTCAAGATGTTTGAACTTCCTGATCGGTCATATGGTGACAGATGTTTTCATGTTCTCTACCCTGACCTGCATAGGTTCTTCCCCAATATGAAAAAGCAATTTGAATCTTTTGGGGAGATTATTTTAGAGGCTGTTGGCTTGCAACTGAGGTTGCTTCCCTCTAGTAGTGTTCCAGATCTATTGTGTTGGTTATCAGATGTCTGTTCATGGCCATTTTTGGCCACAGTAAAGGACCAAAATTGCATTCGAAATGGTTCTGATGTTTTAAAAGGTTATGTTGCTAAGAATGCCAAGGCAATCGTACTATACATACTTGAAGCTATTGTAGTTGAGCACATGGAAGCAATGGTTCCTGAAATACCTCAAGTAGTGCAAGTATTAGTGTCATTATGTAAAGCTTCATATTGTGATGTTTCGTTTCTTGATTCTGTTCTGCGTTTGTTGAAGCCACTTATATCATATGCCTTAGGAAAGGTATCTGATGATGAAAAACTGTTAACTGATGAATCTTCATGCCTTAATTTTGAGTCGCTATGCTTTGACGAGTTTTTCAGTAATATCAGACAAAGGGATGATTGTCAGGATGGTTCTAGGGAGAAAATATATCAGGGAGCTCTGTCCATCTTTATATTGGGTGCCATATTCACTGATTTATCCTTTCACAAGCAGATGGAAGTTTTGAGATCTTTAGTTTCATGGGTTAACTTTACTACTTTTGAGCCAACATCTTCTTTCTATGACTATCTGTGTGCATTTCAGAATGTCCTTGAAAGTTGCAAACTTCTTTTAGTTGATAGCTTAGGAGACTTTGGAATTCACATACCAGTTCAGAAGCCTCAATTTACTGACATATGCAAGGCTGAAGTCCATGCTGATGACTCGGACTTCTCTTCTTGTCCTGATAATGCAACTAAAATTTCTGAGAAGTTTGACAATTCCAAGGATTTAAATGGTATTTCACATAGAAAGGTCTGTGCTTTATCTTCTGAAGTAGTAGAAAGCTTTTCCAGGGACTTAGAGGGTTTGATTTCCAAACTTTATCCAACCATTGAGCAGTGCTGGAAGCTTCATTATCAGCTTGCAAAAAAGCTGATTGTTACATCAGCCAAGTGTTTCATTTACTCAAGATGTTTGTGCTCCATTCAAAAAGCTGTTATTAGTGGAGAGAATGACAATGAGGATCTCATTGCAATCAATTCAAATGATCATTTCTCTATTCATTGGAAAGTAGGTCTTGAAGGGCTTGCTGGAGTTGTTGTGACACTTCAAAACAACCATTGCTGGCAAGTTGCGTCTGTTATGCTTGATTACCTACTAGGGTTTCCTCAGTATTTTTGTCTGGATAGTGTTCTTGGTACAGTTTGCTCTGCAATTAAGCATTTTGCTTCTCATGCACCAAAAATCTCATGGCGCCTCCAGACTGATAAATGGTTGTCAATCTTGTTCACAAGAGGCATTGGTGGCCTTCGTGAGCATAAGGATTCATTAGTTGATTTGTTCTGTACAATGCTTGGTCATCCAGAACCTGAACAAAGATCTATTGCATTGCTGTACTTGGGAAGACTCGTTGGCCAAGATGTAGACACTGGAACAGCAACCTTACCATATATAGTCTGCAATAAATTGGTTGCATCTCACCTAGTTACCTCTGTTTCTGAGCCAGTTCTCTCTGTTCTAGTCTCAAATACATGGGAAAGGGTAGCTCTGATTGCATCTTCTGATCCATCCATGCTTTTGAGGGTTCATGCAATGGCACTTCTGGCAGACTATATCCCATTCGCTGAACGCAATCAGTTGCAGTCCTTTCTTGGTGCAGCTGATACTGTGCTTTGTGGTTTTGGGAGACTTTCATATCCAGTGTTTGATGGGCCACTAACATGGCTGTCGTTAGTTCTTCTTGCAAATGCTTGCCTGTACTCCCCAGAGGAAGATATTGCTTTGATTCCTCAGAGCATTTGGAAAAATGTTGAGACATTAGGAATGTCAAAAGCAGGTAGACTACTTATTTTCTTTTAGTTTCAAGATCATTTAATGGGAGACTGAATTCTTTCCATTGATGCTCCAATCTCTTTTCTTTTCTACCCATTTCTGTTCCATCTTTAATATAGGAGGAAAGCTTGGGGAATTGGAGAGGGCAGCCTGCCAAGCACTTTGTAAATTGAGAACAGAGGAGGATGGGGCTAAAGAGGTAAGGCGCTAATTTCCCCCTACAATACGTGCCCTTGTTCTTGTATCTTCTCAAACCATTATGTGTTATCCTAACATCTGTCAAACCTGCTGCATGATTTTGTAACTAAATAATTGAATTTTTATTGGATCTTTATGTTTTTGCATTCAAAAGTCTCTGAACTACAATTTTTCATTCAAGGCTCTGAAAGCAGTGCTTTCTTCAAGTTCTTCAAGACAATTTGATCCTGAGTTTGGAAGTACCCGTGAAGCAATTCTTCAGGTAAGAACATTTCTCCAATGATTCATAAATTTTGGAGCAGTTGTCTGCTGTCAGATGTAGTCCTTGATCATGTAGCATTTTGCTGAATTTCTGATTACATTTCTTTTTAACAATCTTTTTTTTTTCAAGAGATGCGAAGTAACTGGTCAGTGTTTTTTTTAATGTCCAATGTCCATTTCTTTAAGATCCCCCTTTGCAGTAAGGAAGCATACTAGGCCTGAGACCACATCTAATGTGAGAATCCATGTTTTTCTTCTTCTCTATCCAAAGAGTATACATACTCTAGAATGACATGCTACATTAACTATAATTGTACTGGATTCACCCTAGAGGCTTGCCATTAATCTATTAACTTTATATAAGGCTTGGATAGAGTGACAGTATATGTTAGAAGAAAAACAACATTTTGAAAAGAAAGGACTGTTTAAAAAGTTGCAGAAAATCAAAAGGAAGTAGCAGAAATCAGGTTTCAAGAAGAGAGAAGAAGAAGAAGGTGGTGGCAACTAGGGTTCAGAGAGAGAGATTTTCGAACATAACCTTCTCTCTTACACCCCTAATTCCATTTCATTAAGTTAAACTTTAGTAATTTACAGAGAGGCCCCTAATTGGGCAGGAAATTAAAAAACATAACATAAGAAAGAACAAAGCCCAGATTAAGGCCCATTACAGCAAAGAACATAAAAAATAAAAAGGGATAAACAGCCTATGGGCCATTCGGCCCATCTTCTCTACACTCCCTCTCAAGCTGAGCATAGATGTCAATCATGCCAAGCTTGCCAGTGTCATGTTGAAGTTTAGCCTTGGGAATGACCTTGGTGAGGAAATCAGCTAACTGTCCTTCAGAAGTGATGAAAGGTAGACACACCTCTCCAGAAGCCACTCTTTCTCAAATGAAGTGTCTGTCAACTTCAATATGTCTAGTTCTGTCATGTTGCACTGGATTGTGAGCAGTGTTGGTGGCAGCCTGATTATCACAGTATAACATCATTGGCTTATCATGCTTAATACCCAGTTCCTCCATCAAGGATCTAAGCCACAATAGTTCAGAAACTCCATGAGCCATGGCTCTGTATTCAGCTTTGGCTGAAGATCGGGCAACAACTGATTGTTTCTTGCTTCTCCAAGAGACAATATTACCTGCCACCAAGCTACAGTACCCAGAGGTTGATCTTCTGTCATCAATGTTTCCGGCCCAATCAGCATCTATGTAGGCCTCATGTTTCATATGGCCATGCTTAGCAAATAGAAATCCCTTTCCAGGGGAACCCTTCAAATAACACAGAACCCTCTCTGTTGCTGCCATGTGAGTATCCTTGGGAGCATGCATGAACTGACTAATGCAATTGACAGCAAATGCAATGTCTGGCTGAGTCATGCATAGATAGAGAAGTTTTCCAAGTAGTCTTTAGAAGACTCCCTTATCTTTCAACAATATTCCATCTGAAGCAGAGAGTTTATGACTCATATCAATAGGAGTAGCAACTGGTCTAGTACCCATCTTCCCTATTTCAGAGAGCAAATCAAGTACATACTTTCTTTGAGAGATAAGGATCCCATCCTTGGATCTAGCAACTTCTATGCCAAGAAAGTATCTCAATTCCCTCAGATCTTTGATCTCAAACTCTGTATGAAAGAAAGATTTGAGATCATTAATCCCTGATACATCATTACCAGTCACAACAATATCATCAACATACACAATCAGGTAAACGGCCAAGGATCCTCTCCTCTTCACAAAGAGGGTACGATCAGACTGTGTTTGTACATAGCCAAAGCTAACAAGGGCAGCCCTAAACCTTTCAAACCATGCTCTAGGGGATTGTTTAAGTTCATAAAGAGATTTCTTCAGCCTGCAGACCTTCCCTTTCATATCTTTTTCATACATCCCTGGAGGAAGAGACATATAGACCTCCTCATGTAACTCTCCATTCAAAAATGCATTCTTTACATCCATCTGATAAAGTGGCCAGAGATAGTAGAACTCTCATAGAAGTCATCTTGGCAACAGGAGGAAAGGTCTCCAGATAATCAATCCCATATGTCTGTGTATAACCTTTTGCAACCAGCCTAGCCTTGTACCTTTCAATGGTGCCATCAACATGATATTTGATAGTAAAAACCCACTTACAACCTACTGGATCTTTCCCTTCAGGCAAATCAACCACTTCCCAAGTGTCATTCTTGTGCAGGGCATCAATTTCTGTTC